TAATCTCAAGGTTTTCTGAAATTTTATTATCAACAGCAATAATACAAATTCGTGACAACAAAGGTAATTTTCATGATGCTCGGGTACTTTTAGACTCGGGGTCTCAATCAAATTTCATGACTCGTGAACTCTGTGACAAGTTAGGTTTACAAAGACAACAAACGAATGTACCAATTACCGGAATAACTTCTAACACAACAAAAATTAATTTTTCAACAAAATCTAGAATAAGATCCCGCTTCAATTATTATTATCAGGATACAAGTTTTTTGGTGTTAGAAAAAATAACAGAAAATCTACCCGTGAAATTTGTGAATATTATTGACTTAGTGATACCACAAAATATAGTTCTTGCAGACGAGTGCTTTAATGTGCCAGGTAAAATTGACATTTTGCTTGGGGCGTCAATTTTCTATGATTTATTGTGTATCGGTCAAATACGAATTCAAGGCCAAAAGGCCATGTGGCAAAAAACAAAATTTGGATGGGTGATTTCGGGTGAAGTACCGTGCAATATAAATCAAAGCACTAGCGTGTGCAATTTTGCGCAATTACAACTAGAAGAACAACTGCAGAGATTTTGGGAGCTAGAAAATTATGACAATAAGATTCACTTGAGCAATGAAGAAGAAGAATGTGAAAAAGAAATACAAAATACTATAAAACAAAATGAAGAAGGGAGATTTATAGTGCCACTACTTATCAAAGACGGTATAGAAGAATTAGGAGACTCTTTTGAAAGAGCACTAAAAAGATTTCAGTATTTAGAAAAGAAATTAGACAAAAATGAAAATTTGAAAAGATTATATTCATTCATGCAGGAATATGAAGAACTAGGACATATGAGCAAAATATCAAAAAATGAACTGAAACCAAATAACACTCACTTTTATCTGCCGCATCATGGAGTTGTAAAGGAAACAAGTACTACCACCAAATTAAGAGTTGTATTTGATGCCTCTGCCAAGACAGATTCTGGCATATCGTTGAATGACAAACTGAAAGTAGGTCCAACCATACAAGCAGAATTATTTTCAATATTAGTGCGTTTCCGTAAACATAATATTGTCTTGATAAGCGACGTAGAGAAAATGTACAGACAGGTTCTCATAAAGGAAAGTCATCGGGATTTGCAAAGAATCGTCTGGCGATCAGATCCATCTCAACCTTTACAGCATTTTAAATTGAACACAGTAACGTATGGAACGGCTAGCGCACCATTTTTAGCCATAAGGTCCTTACAGCAAGCTGCATCGGAACATGAAAAAGAATACCCTTTAGCCGCCAAGGTTATAAAACGTGATTTTTATGTCGATGACCTAATTTCAGGCACTGAAACAATACAAGAAGCAATTGACCTGAAAATTCAAATTCAACAAGTCTTATCACAACACGGTTTCAACTTACGAAAGTGGTCATCCAATCACCAGCAAGTATTGGCCACTGAATTTGCTAATGTAGATTCAAATTCCCAACACATAGCCTTTGGTGATACTATCAACAAGACACTTGGTCTATATTGGGACAAAATACAGGACACATTCCAATATCAAGTATCAGTTCCAAAGAATAACAAAATCACAAAACGAAGTATTTTGTCTACAATATCTCAAATATTCGATCCTTTGGGATTAGTGGGACCATGTGTGTTAATTGCAAAAATCTTGCTCCAAAAACTTTGGAAAATTCATGTGAACTGGGATGAATCTTTGCCAATTGAATTACATACACTTTGGTGTGAGTTTGAAAACCAAATTTCAATTATTAACAACTTGCGTATTACCCGACATGTCCTACACCAGAAATCAACAATCATCCAACTTCATGCATTTTGCGATGCTTCTGAGGCCGCATACGGTGGTGCAGTATATATCAGGTCCACGAATGATGTAGGAAATCATATTGTGAAGTTATTATGTGCAAAATCAAAAGTAGCACCTCTAAAAGTAGTTTCATTACCACGATTAGAGCTCTGTGCAGCTGTCCTTTTATCAAGACTAGTTGACAAAGTTAAATCATCGCTAGAGATTGAAATCACTCAAACATTTTATTGGTGTGACTCCACAATCACTTTATCCTGGATAGCACCTTATCATTGGAAAACCTTCGTTGCAAATAGGGTGTCCCATATACAAACCTTAACAAAAACAAATCAATGGCATCACATTAGTTCATCGGATAATCCTGCGGATATAATTTCCAGGGGAATGAAACCGGAAGAAATTTTGTCATCATCTTTATGGTGGTCTGGGCCAGTGTGGTTAAAAGATGATCAAGAAAGCTGGCCTGCATTAAATATAAAAATAAGTGAAAAAATTCCAGAAAGAAAAACGAACTCCAACGTTACTTTAATAGCAACTGAAAATGTAAATAACTGCAATATTTTCTCATTGTATTCATCATTAAATAAGTTACAACGTATTGTAAGTTTAGTTTTACGATTCAAAAATAATTGTAAAAATAAAGCAAATAAACAAACTGCTCATTTATCTATTCAAGAGTTGAACAGTGGTCTTAATTGTCTCATTAAACTTTGTCAAAAACAATCATTTTCAGATGATATTGACCGTCTAATAAAAGATAAATCATTGAAATCTCATAATAAGCTTGTATTTCTCAATCCATTTTTAGACACTAATAATATTTTAAGAGTAGGTGGAAGAATCAAACACTCCAATTTTGATTTTTCGCAAAAACATCCAATCATTTTGCCATCAAATCATGTACTGACAGAACTAATAATACGACACCAGCATTACAAACTCTTGCATGCTGGTCCGCAAGCTCTACTTGCCAATATTCGGTTAAATTATTGGCCCATATCTGGCAAAAATCTAGTCAAAAAAGTGATTAGAAAATGTACAGTTTGCTTTCGGGTGAAACCACCTTTACATTAATCAATTAATGGGGAATTTACCTAAAGAACGTGTAACCCCCTCTAGACCATTTCTATATACAGGAATTGATTTTGCGGGTCCTTTTTCAATTAGGGTCAGTAATCTGAGAAATTCAAAAATAATTAAAGTTTTTCTTTGTATTTTTGTGTGCTTCAGCACAAAGGCTTGCCATATTGATGTGGTAACTGATCTTAGCACAAATGCTTTCATAAACTGTCTCAAAAGATTCATCGGCAGGCGCGGTAGGCCCGTAAAAGTATTCTCAGACAACGCCACCAATTTTGTAGGAGCAGATAATGAGCTCCAAAAATTGATCGCTTGGATTTTTGATCAAAATACTCAACTTGACATTATCAAGTATCTTTCATCTGAATCAGTCTCGTGGCACTTCATTCCAGCAAGAAGTCCACATTTTGGAGGAATTTGGGAGGCTGCAGTAAAGGCAGCCAAATTTCATTTAAAGAGAGTAATGGGCAATTCAATATTAACTTTGGAACAATTCAGCACAATAATTATTCAAATTGAAGCTTGTTTAAATTCTAGACCATTATTTCCAATTTCCTCGGATCCTGATGATTTCCTAGCATTAACCCCCGGCCACTTTCTGATCGGTAGCCCTATCACTGCTCTCCCAGAACCTTCTTATCTAGATATATCAATCAATCATCTTAGTGAGTACCAGAAGCTTAGTCAAATGGTTCAACGGTTTTGGTCCAGATGGTCTTCAGAATACGTTAGCCAAATGCAACACCGTACCAAATGGAAACTGAAGTCCCAACAAGAAATAAAACCAGGACAATTAGTTTTACTCAAAGAAGAAAACCAGCCACCACTAAGATGGAAACTAGGAAGAATCCTTCAAACATTTCCTGGCAATGATTCACTGACGAGAGTGGTTTCAATCAAGACTTCAAATGGCACAGTAAAACGTGCTATAACCAAAATTTGCATTCTCCCTCTTGAAGAACAAACTAACTAATTGAAACTACAGAGTTTCAAGGTGGGCGGCATGTTGTGACGTCATCACTGTGTCACCTGAAAAATGAAACATCTGGCAACAGCGCGCTGTCAATAACCAGAAGAGAGAGAAAAGGCAACCAACGAAAAACGACAGAAGGCGGCACCATGACGATTCCCTCCGAGCAACCGACAGCAACAACATGCTCTTATTATCATTTCTATTGAATTCTATTTTTTTATTAAAATTATTGTAAAATAAACCATCATCAATACAGTCCACTCAATTATTCTATCATAATAACAACATTAAACAACTAGCTTTCATAAACCTAGCAATCCCTTAGTTTTTTTTTGATTTTCTTGAAAACTAGAGGAGCACCTAATTTTTGATTAGAGGCCCTAATTAGCACCTAAAAAGCACCTAATTATTATATAGATCCCGAAGATTTTTTGCCATTCTGACACACCAACAAGTAGATGTAAAGCCAGCAGTCCCCTAATAATTAAAAAAAATCTGTAACTCAGTTAATAATTAATCAATTTTATTTTTTCTTCGACTATTTAGGAGCACCCAAAAAGCACCTAATTCTGGTACAAAAGAAAATTTTGGAAAAATATTTTTCCCTATAGGGGACTACTAGCTTTCATAAACCTAGCAATCCCTTAGTTTTTTTTTGATTTTCTTGAAAACTAGAGGCCCTAATTAGCACCTAATTATTATATAATTCCCGAAGTTTTTTTTCCACCTTGGGACTGCTAGGTTTATAGACCTGTCTACCTATATTAAAACAAAGTTTCATAGACCCGTCTTTATTTCAGTGGTGATGGTGACTCAGATGGTGATCATAAAATTTAGGAAGTAAAAAAACTTGACCAAAAATCCTAATGTAATTATTCAACTTCAGATGTAAAACTAGCATGAGATCATAGTTTTTAGCTCAAACAATTATTAACTACTCAGACAAAATCTAAAAGAAATAACAAAATTTATACAGAAAAAAAATAAAATAAATACAAAGGGGCAAGGCGTTTCAGGTGGGCCACTCTGTATCTGAATAAAAATCATGTCTCGAAGTTATAGCTTCTGGAGGGAAAATTAAGAAAAAAAAACAAGCTATAAGAAGCTGTGCTATAAGTACTTACTCTACAGGTAACTTAGGCAAAGCACTCAGCTCAGCACCGCTGCATCCAGAACTACTTTACTATAAAATATTATATTTTCAAGACTTCCAGTCTCATTTCTTTGTAACCAATGAATAAATCAAAATCGCATCACAAGCAAATGCAAATTGAACATCAACAGCAACGAAAATTAAAAAAAGGGCCATCGGCTGTTTAAGTTTGACAGTATGACATTTCCGTTGAAAGGACTTTTGACTTGCAGGAAACACAGTTCACCTTGCGTTCGGTATTTTGCTCAAAGTGCAGAACGTGCTGAGCGGAGCCGTAATAACGTGACCAGCGAGCGAACAGAGCAGTGGAACGCTGTATCAGAGTGCCCGAAATTTCAATAAACGAACGCGAATGAGCCTGCACTGAGTACACTTTTCAAATAAACGAACGGAAATTTTAAGCTCGGAGAACTCAGATCAAAATACCGAACGCACGGTATGGACCATCAAACGTCGAGTGTCGAGTCCGACCTAACGCGTTCGGAACAAGGTGAAAAAATAACTCACTCAATAGTTGTATTCCTTTCACACCTAGGAAGAGCTCCGGAACAGCTCCAGGGCGTTACGCGCTTATTCCTTTCGAAAAGTGTTTGTTGCACGAAGTGCTCAAGCCCGAACTCAACCATTTAAATGCACGAAAGCCAGCCCATCTGTTCCTTTCAAATCGGTGTCGACTAACACCGGAACGAGTAGCTCTAGTGTTCTAAACTCTTGAAAGGAATACAACTGATAATGATAATTCATACCTTCATTAGGCGAACTCTTTAAGGCTGAAAAAGCACTCCAACAAAAAATATGAGTCTTCGAGTCACAAGCTCCGGAGCTATTCGTTCAGAGTCATTCGGAGTAACTCTCAAATAAAACGGTTTTTTAATTCCAAGTAGGTTAGGCTAGAGGAGAATGGGAGTCAGAGGCAAATGCAGCTATTGAAAAGAGCGCGTTGCTTAAAAAGTGCAGGAGTGCTCTGAGAGCGATTATAATTTTAAATCAATAGCCGAACGTACTTTATCCTTTTGATCAAACTCTATGATCCATCGAATTTGATGGAGCCAGAAAGAGTGTTCCGTGCCAGATTTAGGAGCGTTCTATTGCTCAAGTCGAACAAGTGAATGTCGCCGAGAGCAACGCTTCGTTTTTTTTTTTTTTTATCAATCGGGTGCTCATGACAATTTGCTCTGGATGCTCACATTCACAAAACCTCACATTTATTTATAACTAAAAATGAGATTATTTTGGCATTTTTCGACAAGCTTTTAAGCCTAGAAAGCTTCAGATGACATTATTTTGGCATTTGTCTACCCGTTTTAAATCTGGGAAATTTCAACGATGTCAGAAAAGTGTCAGATTGATAAAGCCTAGTACTCATAACCGCGAAATTCACCCTTTTTTGACATTGCTTGGATAATTTGACGTTTAATTCATGCATAAAACGTCAAATTGTCGAAGCAATCTGAAAAAAGAGCGAATTTCGCTGTTATGAGTACTAGGCTTAATCCTGCCAAAAGAAAAACATATGTTTTTTGTTTATTGTTTGCCAACCAGACGCCATTTGGACAGGTCGTTGGATTGCCTAATTAGTTTTCAAGTACTCGACCGGTAAATACCGTAGTCATGCCCTTGTTTACAGCACGTTGACGCCCGTTTGACAGTTTATGGTCGAACCCACAAAACGCTTGAATTTGTTTTGATTATCATTTTGGTTTTGCTTGGGGGCTTTATTTGAAATTGACGCAACTTTGCGTACACGCAAATAACGTCATTCGTGATTGAAAATTGGTGCACGGCTTATTTGACATGCAATTTCAATCGCAACTGTCATCATTTGCGCAGTGATGTGCCTGTAGACAATAGCCGCTTTCCAGCTGTGTGCTTCAAGCACGGTGCAGCACAGTGTTCTGTGTTTGAAACGCAAAAGTTAGCAACTTTCGAAGCTCAGTACGGCTGGAACACGAACACGCGCTTGAAGCATTTGCGCGCGCAAAAGCTCGGTTGCGTGCTCAAAAGCGTCAGCTGGAAAGCGGCTAATGTCAACGTAAACAATTGATTGTCTACGCGTAGACAATTCGAATTGTTTACGTGAGCATTTGTCTACATGAGGCGAAACAATAAATTATTTTGAAAAATTCGAAAAAAAAATATCAAGAGTTACTATACTATCACTATCACTTCGATATCAGCATTCACCAATGATGAACTATAACCAAAACTGGAATGCGAACACATATTGACGAACGTGAAGCCTAGTGCCATTGCTGCGGAGGGGATACCTGTTTTTGTCGCACTCATTATGTTAAATGGCGGAAATTGCTTCCAATACGTATTCCAATTGATGAAACCTGTGAAGGTAAATATGACTAAACTTTCCAAAACGTCATATGTCAGCGAGCAACAGAAAAAAACAACATTCCCCTTTGTGGCATCTATCTTCCATGGCTACATTTTTTTAGCCGATATGGCAATGTGTGCGCATTCCAGTTTTTGACTATAGTTCATTGGCATTCACTGATTATAAAATATCAGGAAAATCAATAAAAAAAGGAAAGTGTGAGGTTAGAATTAAACGTCATTTATATTATTTTACATTGTTGACACGTTGTCTACATTGTCTACATTATCTACACGTAAAGTAGACAATGAAAGTCTACGTGTAGACGCACATCCCTGCATTTGCGTGATATTTGCGTGTACAAAAAGTGATTTTGACGTTGGCGAATTTTTTTTTTGGCCTATTGTGTTTTAAACTCGGATAATGCACTTTACGCCAAGAGTGTGACGTCAGCCAAACGCAATAAAGGATAATTCACACTACTACAGGATAGCCTATCTTCATAACGCATGTGTGGAACAAATCCCCGCCTTCCCCCCGTAAACAAAGATTGTCTACGTCTGGTGTAAACAACGCGTAGACAATGTAAACTATGTAATCTATGTAGACAACGTGTAAAATAGGTAGACAACGCGTAAGGTATACAATTTTTGACAGTTGGCAGGCCTTTAAAAGGTTATGTTTCTGTTTTTGATTTGTTTTGTTTTTTGCTTTGTAAAGTTAATTAAACTGCAGATAGTCTAATTTGATATAATATAAATTTATTGCAATGCAAACTTTCAAAAAAATTACTCAAATTTTCAAATTTTCTGTTGTCTACATATTTTTTTTTTTTAGTTTACATAGTCTACATGGAAAAAAGTGGATGTAAACAATACAATACGTAGACAACGAGTAGACAAACCGCGTAAAGTAGATTTCATAGTCTACGGCACATACCTGAGTTTTACTACATAAATTGACATTCGTAAACAACTCTTTTTTAGATCTCGTTTTCATCTTCCTCTTCGCATATTATGTTATTCGAAATTAAATAGGTAACAATTTTCTTCATAAATTTAAATTCTAAACAACGACCGCTATAGGGTACTTGCATGGAAAATTAAATTGATTATTGTTTATTGCAAACTGTGGGAAATCGAAAAAAAATCGTTACTTTTTTTTTATTTCGCCCAAATATGATTATTCCGGAAGTTATTCAAATATTAAGTTTTGTATACATAGATCAATGACACATAGATATACTGAGCATGTGCAACGTCACTAATCTATTAGATAAGTGACGTCATAGGCAGATTTCATAGTGTTGTATCTCCTTCAATTTTTGACTAAGAAGAAAAAGAAAAAACACGTGTTGACTTATTTTTCATGGAATATCGAAATCTGAAAAATTTGATGCAAGTAGCCTATTAGGCGGCAATTACCAAAAAAGAGGCCGATAAGCATCATTCCAGTAGTGTGTATGATCCTTGATTGAACCGCAATAAGGTTTTCCAAAATAGTATATTGTGTATTTAGGTGGAAAAGTGACACATTCTCGGCCGACGGTGTAAGTTGACGAGCGTGGCGTAGCCGAGGCCGGCAAACACCAAAGGTCGAGAATGTGCTTTTCCACCGAAATACACAGACTATTTTTTTTGCGATCGGTTAAATACCTGTTAAATGTTTGTCTTTTAGTTCCAATTATTCAGCAATACGAGAATCACTTTCCCGGCCTAGGCATGACATACCTATGTTATTCCCCCAGGGAATAATGACGAGTAGCGGGAATAATGGTCATTATTCCTCAATAGTGCCAAGCGTGTAGTGCTTGTGGTTTTGTATTGAAAATTATGAGACGGATGAAATTTGTTCATTTAAAATCTCAAATAAATTAATTTGTCGTAAATAAAGTAGAGTATACTACTCGCAATAATGGCTATTATTCCCTCGGAATGTTACTCCCTCGCTAACGCGGCTCAGTTCGTAATAATCCTCGGGAATAATAGCTATCATTATTGACTCGTGGTATAATCTACTATTATTTATCTCTGCTTCCGTTATTTTTGAAGCTCCCGGCTCCGACAACGCTTGATTGTGTTTGAATTAGGTACGGAGCTGACGTCACACACAACCTCACATTCGCTTTCGATGGGGGGACAAACAAAGCGTTTGGAGGTTTATTTTTACGCGCAGACGCTAGCAAAAATCATATAACGGCACTTTCGATAGGGGGACAAAAATGTCATTGAGAGGTTATGTGTGTGACGTCAGCTAGTGCCTAATTCGCATTTTTTTTACATTTAGGAATTTTTTGGAACTTTTTCACCAAAAGTATGTGATGAAAATGCTGCTCCAACGCCACTTCAGCTCCACATGGCGATACGATATCCATATCTACATCGATACGATATCCATATCTACATCGATACGCACGCCCCCAACGAAGGTGCATATCGATACGAATATGTCACATCGATATATATGATATGTATCGATAAGGAAAAGGATCTTGCAATATTTAAACCATTCCATTATCATGTAATTTAAATCATCAGGACATTCATATTTTTCCGATTCCAGGGTTCTTGAATTTTCTTCATTTCAAAAAAGTTAAGAGGAATTGAGAAAAAATTGGTAGGCAAATAAATACAAAGAATTTTGTTTCTATTTCAAGCTCTTGAACTTTCTCCATTTAGAGAAATCTCTTTTTCAAAATAAAAAAATTGAAACGGAAAAAATTTAAAATAATGAGAAGAAAAATTGAGAAAAAGGCCAGGCTTTTCAATTTTCTTTATTTCGACATGTTCAAGAGCCAGGAATAGACAAAAATTGAGCTGGAGAAATTG